TTAGAGTGATTACCTAGGCTTTCACTAAAGTTTAGCCTTAGTTTTCCTCCGTATTCCCCGGCTTTAACTCCTTTATCAGTTTTAGAGTCGTCTTTAGATCAGAATTGATCTTCTATTTTGAGATTCGTTCTATTCAACTACCATTCGTCCCGTCCTAGAAAAAGGACAGTAAATGGCTTTCCGAAATTATATTTAATTTGCATTGTATCTGGTACCATTTCTAACTCTTAGTGATTTTTAATTATATCTCAAGATTTGATCCCGGTATCTTTTTACCCTGATTTCCTGAAGTATCTTATCCGTCTTTTGTATGCTCTTATCTTCACCTCCTTCTCCATCCATATATGTAATGGAGGGAAGTGAAGCATGACCTCCATAGAGATGGTTCGATGGTTGGAGTAGTCGACATCACTCCCGCGATGATAAGGCATACTTGTTGTTCAAGCTTATTCAGCTTCTCTTTGAAGGTCTTTTGTTAACATTTATACCACCATATTAATGCGCCATACGTAATCATAGGTCTAACTACAGTCGTATATACCCAGTACATCTATTTATTCTCCATGTTTCCCACATATCCGTCAACATGTCCAAAGGGACAGCTTTGCTTTGTTGGATTTTCTTTCCAGATGGGCGATCCATATAAGCCGTTTATCTAGAATTACTACCAGATATTTGACCATTCGCCTCTTTGACAGTTTCTCCATACAGAGCGGCTATCCAGATGTTATCTATACTACTAGATATTTGACCTTATTAGCCTCTTGGTTTGTTTTTCCATACTGAGCGGGCATCCAAATGTTATCTAGATTCCCTCTTCTTGTACAAATATCTTATCTAAAGTCTATTGTCTACTAAGTCGCTTAGAATCCTATATTTTAACGCTATCGACAACAATATAATATATTGTTTTTAACTAATCATCTTCCGGTTTTGGGCTTTCTCTTGTACGTAACTTCTTCAGGAATACCTTTATAGTAATAGGGTAAGTTAGATCACCGGTAACTCAAGAACTCTATGAACCCAGAGGGGAAAACCAAAAACCAGGGTAGAAATTCACACACAGTAACTTAAGTATTCAAATTACCCAGCGGTGAAACATGAATCTGATGACACTAGGAATCAAGGATGCAAAAAGGATGAAATATATAACATACAAAAAAAGATCCGGTAATAGATCTTAGACAGACATTAGAAATTTAGAAAGTTGTGATATATTCTTTGCTTGTTTGCGAACAATCTTGTTTATTGTATATGTGACGAAGCAAATATATGAAAAGAAGGCGACAGATTTAATGGAAGTAGGATCCGAGTTAGATGCACTCAGGTGTTTAGAGTAATCTTTTGTATTACGGATTTACTTTAAAGAGATAAGGACCTCTTGAGCATAATCGTATTTGAAGTTGTCTTGATGACAGTTAAAATTCAGTGACAGTTAAGATTAATATTGACAAAATACTAGCACAGTGGAGAAAACTGCCATGAGGCCAAGAGAAATATTATTTGAAAAAACTCACATTTCTTCAAAAAATCCCCACTTCTAGTCTAGAAAAGTTATTGAAGTGGTTAAAAGCCTCTTGAAAATATTTTTTTTTTATTAACATCTAAAATTTTTTACAATCTGTTTTGATATTGTTCAGAAATTCTGATCCCATTCTGATTCTTATCTATCGCTAGCTGATTCCCAATGCTGCGAACCATATGACCAAACGGGTTTTATTATAACTTTATATATCAACAGCTTGTTGTCGATCAATAGATGTGAGGTTTTTCCAGCATCCAGTAAAGTTTTCTGTATAAAATTCCTAGTTGTAGTCTTGTCATCCATACATGTTTGGTCCATGTTAATTGTTTGTTCAGATGAATGTCTAGATATTTTACGTCATGCTTTTGGAGTAAAGGATGTACGTCGAGGTTACCGTATGTTAACATATACCTCTTCTTAAAGTAAATGTGATGTGTGTGGACTTTGAGGGATTTACTTTAATTCTCCAGAGTTTAAATCATTCATTAGTTTTGTTTAGATGTAGTTGCAGTATCTCTGATGGTATTACTGGATTACGATGAGATGTTAAGAAAGCAGTATCATCTGCAAATGTTGCAATCGTAAGTTTATTTCTTGTTGGTAAGTCAGACGTATATAATAGATACAACATCGGTCTGAGTACACTACCCTGAGGGTACACCAGATTTGATTAGGTAGGTGGGCTTCACTATACCTTACTAGTTATCTTCTTTCTGTAAGGTATGATTTAAGCAGTTTGAAGTAAGTGTAACGTAGATTTTTCTTTAACTTGTACAGAAGTCCTGTGTGACACACCTTGTCAAAAGCTTAAGAGGCATCTAAAAAGGGTGCAGTATAGTATTTCTTGTTCTTGAGACTAGTTCTTATTGTTGTGTATAATCTGTGAACGTGTTCTATTGTATCGTGTTGGTTACGAAATCCAAATTTATGGTCAGGTATAAGACCCTTTTTGTCCAATATTGGTTTGATTATTCTCAACAGAAAAAACCAGCCATTTCTAAGTTTTTCAAGAAACTTGACTGGGAGTAAACTAATCGGTCGGTATGAGTTGACATCTTTTGGAATTTTACCAGGTTTTTGAGTGAGTATAATCTGTGCCAATTTCCATTGCAAAGGGAAGTAGTGCAGCCTGAACATAGCATTTTTTATTATCTGTTTTAGTTCTTTAATGTTAAATTGGGTTCCATTTGATATGGAGCGTCAAGGAAAGAATTAAGTGGTTCTCCTTTGTTCTGCAGGTACTTCTCTGGTATATATATAGCAACATAGCATTGAAGATCATTGTGATTATTCTGTTTCAATCATGGGTTAGTTCTTGACGGAATATAACCGTAATGAGATCGTATCCCGGCACCTTGTTGGATTTTATGTCATTTTTTATTATCTGTTTTAGTTCTTTAATGTTAAATTGGGTTCCATTTGATATGGAGCGTCAAGGAAAGAATTAAGTGGTTCTCCTTTGTTCTGCAGGCACTTCTCTGGTAAATGGACTAAAAACTTTCGAAAGATGTTCTGCCAATGTCTCGGATTTGTCTGTAGCTGTTCTTGCCCATTTACCTTTGGCATTTTTCAAAGGAGATATGGCGTCTTGTGGCTCTTTTAATTTTCTCGTCGCTTTCCGTAAAGAATAGTTTGTATCTTTGACGGCGTCCGATTTTCTAGATAAGTTTGGATTCCCATATTGTTTTCTTTTTTTAACAGATTTTTAAGTCTTCTGGTAATTCTGTTTAGGTTTGCTTGGTCAATAGGTGCGTGTGTGTTTTGTAACTTTCTCCTTAGTGCAAACCTGAAAGTATATAACCACTTTTCTTAAAAAGAACGTTAAATTAAAATGTTGACAAAGGTTAGAGCAAAATGTGGTTAATACTTACGGTTGTACATGCTAGTAGCCACCAAAATATATGGGTAATAACCCTTTAAATATGTTAAATTTGAAGTTGTTTTACATTATTAGTATTTATAATTTGTGATGTTTAAGTTACCGTTGGCTAGGTAACATGGCGGCGTATGACTCTACATGAGTAAAATGGTCCTGAGACGAAGTGTCTACGAGGACCTATTGATAACAACTTGTTTAATCCGAAAACGTTTTGCAATGTGTTTGTGAAAGCCCGTTTGGGGCATTTTTATATACCTTTTATAAAGGATTTTAAACAAAATTTTTTTGTGATATATGGTATACAGCCAGCTACAGGAACTTAGTTTCCTCGTGGAATTTCTCCTTAGTTTTCTTTTCTCTTCAATCAAGCGTTTTGCACTCAGAGAACAATTTATGCTTTCCTTCCAGTTTGTCTCTTCAGGAGTAGCACTCCATCCCGCCTTTTGTTTTGAGTGGCAAGTTCATTGATATTTGTTTTGTGAGTGCACTTCGAAATATGTTCCAGTTTGTTTGGTTATTGTGGTTATTGGTTAGGACTGGAGACTGACTTTTGAGTATGGCTTTGGAGTCTAGGTCAACTAAAATATGAGAATGGTCTGATGAAAGGTCCCAACATAATTCTATTGAGCAGTAGTTAAGAGATACACCTTTAATCACACATAAATCTAAGAGATCGAGTGTGTTATTTGGATCTGTAGGCCAATAAGTTGGTTCTCCTGTAGATATACATTTTAGGTTATTTCCCATTATTGATTACAGGAGTTTCTACCGCTTGTTATGATTACCCTGGAGTCTCAGTGGTGATTTTTGCAGTTAAAGTCTCCTTCTGCCTCGAAAATATAAAATTAGAAGATTAACAATTCTTATCCCCTAACAGACGCGATGTGATGTAATAGGAACACCCAACATTTAAAGGAACATGAAAATGGTCGACAATCCAGATAATCAAGGGCTATTGCAGAATTATTTTAATGAATTTGTGTTTGATCTCTTCGTATGTTATTTGAGTTACTTTGACCAGCAGCATATCCTACTCTTGTAAGAAGCTACATACAATGTAGTGAAACGTTGAGATGGATTTACGCGCCGTTCGTCCAGAACATAAACGTTCCAAATCCTTAAGGAGATAACTTAAAAGTTCTGACTCTAGCTGTAGAAATATTCGTTTTCATAAAATATTGTATAATTTTTATAAACTATATTACTAAATTTTGTTTATTATTCTTTGAATCGCGACAGAAGAAATTTTTTATTACATGCGGGTATGACTTCAGCGCATGAATCGAATGTATATTCCACAGCTATGTAGAGATTGAGGAATTTATTTTAAAAATGGAGATAATTTTTGGAATGATTCGTTTCTATTATATTTACAGTGTCAAATCCAATCTGTTTTGTTTGTTTTAGATCTTTACAAGGAAGGTCCAACCAGACTTTCTGGTGCCATGCATCTTTGACTCCTCTTATATCTAAATACTTTAATTTTGAAGGATTTAAAATGTTTCGACAAAGCATTTTAGAAGAAATTAGAAATTCATTAAAACTTCGGATCATTTTCTAAATAGATAAAAAATACTTATTTACCATTGGTTTTAGGGTTTTAGGACTGGACAACCAATAACGATACAAATAAAATGTTCCGAAGTATGTATCCAATCAGCTTCGTTATACCAGGTCAGTATTGGTAGGAAAAAAACCTTTCTGCACATCGATGCAATTTCTTGAAAAAAAGATATGTTATATTTGAAGATATAGATTATTGTTGGAAGGATAGTTTGGGGATATATTAGAATTAAAATTAAAAATAAATATAAAAGAACAAAAAGACAACATGGATATCTAAAAACATTCAATATTATTTTAGTTGGGATATAATGTGAACGCCCAGAAGTTTACTCTTTTAATGTGTTGATTGTCTTTGTGTAATAATCTCATCTTTGTGATTTTTTATGAGTTTTTGATTATAATTTTAATTTTATTATTATAACCCTAAATGATCCGTCAATAATGACATTTTAAAATAATCTAACTAATACATTTAATCTGTACCTTCGAATATAACATATCTTCACTTCAAGAGATTACCTCTATATTGATATGCAGAAAAGTATTTTTCCTACCAACACTGACCTGACATAATAAAGCTGACATAATACATACTTAACATCATTTTGTTCTACTGCCAATTGGGGAACTAATGATGGGCTGAAAATTGTAGAGCACCAACTTGTCGTCAAGGTGGTGCTCTACCAAGGTGTCGTCAATTGGTGTCAACCAATTCTTTGAAATAAAATATTTCTTTCACGAAAATTATTATTTAAAAGGAGAATTCCGGTAGAAACATTTTACTAATCATTGTTTAAAAATGCTTGTCCTTTACATTATTTAGTTAACCATTAAAATTTATTGTAAATGTGTATATCAAGTATATAGTCTGTACATTTCAACATTTTAATTATTTGTATACCTCTTATTTAGTCTAAATGAAATAGAAGAGAAAGCATAAATCTATGTATGTTATATTTTTCAAATATAATTGTTTTTATAAAATGTTTTATTTATTTAAATTTATAAAATAAGAATATGAAACAAGTTACGGCAACTTTTCGAAAAGATGCATAAACTGTCGCACGAGTTTTTACAGGTAGAGTTGTTTCCAAACCTCATGAAACTTAGAAATACGCATGCCCGAAAAAAAATCCTTAATCTTTAATAATCGGAGAGTTTGTTGTATTTTGACCTTTTTATTTACCATTGAAACAATATTAGATAAAGAAGCTTGGATACTGATTTTCCTATTTTTCTTTCTAAACTATATTTTAAATCGTTTTGTTGTTTTGTTGTAACTAAATCGTTTTTCATATCTATCTGTTGTCCTTCTAATTTGTCTAGTTTACTATTAATTTGACTTACCTCTAACTAAAAATTCTTAACAAACTACACTTGTGACCTTGTTGACGCTAAAAACTTTTGCACTGCAAGTAATGTCTTTGAGTGTAAATTTTTGAACACATCAATAAATGTTGAATCACCTTGTAATTCACTTCTAAGTAATTGAGACTCCCTTTGATATCTAGTACATTCCAACAAAACATGCTGTAAGGTGCCTAAACTGCCACATGAACACATATTTGTAATGATCACTTTGAAGAATATAAACTAAAGAATATATTGGGTTGTCATATGCTACTACCTTTAATATAAATTTAGATGCTAGCCAAATTCTTCTAAGATCTAACGGTGTTTCCCCGCATTCCGACAAAATATTATGAACTGGGGAAGACCTCATAAATCCCCTGACCACTCTGATAGCTCTATATTGAACTTTATCCAGCTTTGTCAGTAAGGAACGGGCACAACCTCCAAAAAAAAACCTTAAAATTCTCGTGGATTTGGGATAAATTATTTATAATTTTTATCTCTACTTTTATACACCTGTCCTCCTTTTTATCTTCTTCTTGTCACCAACACCAACAATATTACAATGCTTGTTTACAACTTCAACTCAATGGCAACTATCAAATTCAAAGACTCAATTACAACTGATATTTGAACTGTCAACTACCTGTGTTTATTTAAATTTTCTCACGTCCCAAACTTTACTACGACTTCGGGATTTTTCGATGACATCTCGAACCATGGACGAATACATCCATGTCTCGAACATTCTAGATTTTTATTACTTCTTCTTTTTTGGCAATGGACTTTTTATATATGAAATAAATCTTATGGAACTGTCGTAAAAATAATTATCCTTCCTCCATTATTTCAATTTTTCTGACAAGATCACTTCTACGTATTTAATAAATAAAAGTTTATGCAAAATACACTTAATGTGTAACACCAAGCTCTTGGCTTCAATGGCTACAATGGCTGACTGCCGCATTGACTACCGATATAACGCCTTGATTAAAAGTATTTACGAAACTGGTACAGCTTGTGTCCACCTTCATGAAGATACCAAGAAGTTTCGAATAGAACGTGGAATTAGACAGGGTGATACTATCTCCCCTAAATTGTTTACAGCTGTTCTTGAATATGTGTTCAAGCAAATGGAACGAGAGTATAATATGGGAATTAATATAAATGGGGAAGATCTGAATCACCTAAGATTTGCCGATGACATCGTTTTAATATCTGATAGAGTTGATAAAGCTACAAAAATGCTGCATACGCTCTATAAAGTGTCAAAAACAATTGGTCTTAAAACTAACACCTCAAAGACAAAATTTATGACCAACCTTGTAGTCAGCGGTAAAATTCTGATTGAGAGCCATAGCATCCGCCACAGCATAACCAAGTTATAGCTTACAAATATCTAGGGCATGAGATTCGCTTAGGCCGAGATAACCAGACAACTGAAATTCAAAGAAGGATAGGTCTCACATGGGCTGCCTTTGGTAGATTGAATAGCATTTTCAAGTCTGTATCCCAGTTTGTTTAAAAAGAAAGATTTTTAACCAGTGCGTTTTACCGGTTCTTGCATATGGTGCAGAAACACTGACTCTGACAAAAAGAACAATAGATAAAATAAGAGTTACACAACGAGCTATGGTATCAATATTAGGTATTACCATTAGAGCTAAAGTTCCAAACCTAGAAATAAGAAAAAGAATAGGAGTCACAGATGCAGTTGAAAAAATCGCCATGGCTAAATGGGCTTGGGCGGGACAAGTTGCCAGATTAACGGATGATAGATGGATCAGAAAGATTCTGAAATGGCGACCAAGGCAAGATGTATACCGAAGCAGAGGACGACCACCGACTAGATGGACGGATGAGATCAAGCGCATCAACACAAACTGGATGTAAGAAGCTCAAGATAGAAATATGTGGAAAATTTTACTGGAGGCCTACGTTCAGCAGTGGACAAATATAAGCTAATTGATGAAGATGATGATGAATAAAAAATTATTAACTGCTTAGATACAATCCTGATACAAATTACTATTACCATACATAATAAATATTTAGACGAATGTTTTTCGATTATTTGTCTTATAAAATTTGTTCTTTACGATAGTACAGTACTTATAGGTCTTGAACTTATTTTTCTTAATTTCCATTTACAGATTCACTATTTTATACTTACTGTTCATCTTGTTTGATCTATTGGAATAATTATACAGTTAAAAGCAAATTGGTTAATAAAAATCGTTATATAACGTACATATTATTATATTTAATATAATTTACATTAAAAGTTCATTATATCTTAACTTATCACTGAAATACAGTACCATTAATTGGAATGATATTACACGAGTAAAGGATAAAATAATTTGTAAATTGTATAATTCTAAATAATGTCTAGAAAGAATCTAATTCTTCAAAATTGAATCATAAGCTTGGAAAACGTACGGTGCGACTTCTACAGATCTAGATTTCAAACTAAGTGTAGCTGTGGTTAATCCCGGTTGAAGTTTCAGTTCGAGTAAAACCCAGATATTATTCGTCAACTTCAGTGACTGATATAACATGTCTTGCCCTTCCACATTGCGTTTGGCTATAGTAAAGATGTTATTCAATGTCATTTTGCTAGAGACTCCATCTGTGTTCCCCTTAACATCATTAACAGTGTATTGGACCTAAATTTAACAAAAAAAGTATTTTAGTCATATGAAATAAGAACGTCATTTTACTTAAATCGAGAAGGGTATGAAGGGTATTTTTACAAGGTTCAAATAATATCTTTTCTGGCAGTTGGCAACAAAACTACATAGGAAATACCAAAATCTTAACGATGTTCAAATTATTTTCAACCGTATTGTGTGAAATAGTGGTTTAAAATATCAGCAATTCGGCCAGTTGGAAATAAAACTATTTGTTCTATATCTTTCAATATTTTGTCAAGAGTTTGTGACTTTAGGAGAAAATGGCAAATTTATTAAAATTATTAAATGCTAACAAAGGCTGAATATTTCATTGTTTACAACTTAAAAGAGTATAAATTTAACTTTTTTTAACATATCTGGATGATATTGATTTAATATTTTTTTTATTTTGATTTACAGATCACGACATTGTTTTATTGATCCTTCAACACAATGGCAATCGCTGTGACATGTTACACGTTTTCACCTCTATATTCATTTCACAGTAGGTACGAATTATCGTAATTGTCACATTGACATTAAAAATTTCAAACGAAGTTCTGAAAGAATAAACGAATAATTAATAAAATTTTTATTACGTTGTACACCGTCCAAGAAAAAGTGCAACTTGTAACATGTTACTTTCAGGGTCATTCGATACGCGAAGTAATTGATTTATTTATTGTTGCCTTCGAAAATAGACCCCCACCAAGTGTTACAACAGTTAAAAATACCATTAAACATTTTCAAACTTTGGGATGTGTAAACAGTTGTAAAAAGTGTCATGAAGGTAATGAACCACGTGTTAGACCTATCGATAAGGAGCGTCAAAACAGGGATATTGATATTTGTGCTTTTGTGGAAGCTAGTAAACCCTGCAATAGTGTACAAATTGCTAGGAAAGTTAACGTGAATGCTCGAACTGTCCAGCAAGTTTTCAAAAGGAATGGGTATCACTGTTTTAAGATACAACCAACACAAGAACTGTTTCCAGAAGATAACTTTGGGCGGATGGAGTTTTGTGAATTTATGTTAGATAAACAGAATGAAAATGTACACTTTTTAAAAAATATTTTATTTTCTGACGAATCTTCATTTTAATTACATAAAAAACACAATCCATCCGTTGCAAGGTATTATTCTCGGAAAAATACGCACCTCAGTGTTGCAGTGCGAATGCAGAATCCGCAAAAGTTAATTGTTTGGATTAGGATGAAGAGACCATATTTTCGGCCCATTTTTTTATCGATGGAAACCTAAACGGGCCGAAATTCAACTTTTACAGAATGAAATCATTGCGGCAGTTCGACGCCTTCCCGTTAATTTTCAGGAGTTTTATTTCCAACAGGATGAGTGTGCGGCTCACAACTCTAGAGCAACTATTTACGTCCTCAATCAAATGTTTCCTGATCGACTAATAAGTACACGTGGTACAATTAAATGACCCGCTAGATCCTGTGACTTAGGGCCTAATGATTTCTTTTTTGGGGTTTTTTCAAAGAAAGCATTTATAGGCATCAGTTTGAAAGGGCAACAAACCTAGTCGAATTAAGGGCAAAAATACTTCATTTCTCTGCAATAATTACACCATCCCTACTCCAAAATATGAGGAGAAATCTGTATGACAGATTTGGTTACTGTTTATCACAAGGAGATGGAATATTTGAGCCCTTAATTCATTAATCTGCTTTCCTAATTTTTATTTTTTGTTAGGTACATTTTACGAAGTTTGTAGGTTCTTAATTCTTCTTCTTCTTAAGGTGCCGTGCATTTCTGCGTAGGCGTCCACCGTACATCGTCTTGTCAGGTGATATGTTAAATATTCTTGATTAAATAATTCTACTTTTAGCAGCATTGCGAAGCATTTCATAGCTGTGGATTCCTGTCCATTGTCGAATATTGCGCAGTCATGACATTTTTTTACGTCCGAGACCTCTCCTACCCTCTATCTTCCCTTCGAGTATCAGTTGCTGAAAATTTTATCGTTCTCCTCGTATAATGTGCCCCAAGTATGCAGTCTTCTTACTTTTTACATAATTAAAAAGTTCCCTATCCTGTAAGCCCGCTCTTCTGAGTACTTCCTCATTTCTGACCCTGTCCGTCCATGATATTCTGAGCATTCGACGCAGGCACCACATTTCAAACACTTCAAGTTTGTTAATGGAACTGGCTTTTAACGTCCATGCTTCCATTCCGTACAGGAGAACAGGCCACACGTAACACTTAAGCATCTTGTATCGGAGGTTGAAGTTCAATTTGCGATCAGTCAGAAACTTACGAAGCCTCAAAAAAGCATTTCTGGCTTGTTCAACTCTGCTCTTTATTTCATTCTCGGGGTCCCAACCCTCATTCAGCAAACATCCCAAGTATTTGAATTGCCTGACTTGTTCGATTTCTTCTCCAGAGACATATATCTTTGCGTTGGGGTAACCATTTCTACTTATAATCATTGATTTTATCTTCTTGATATTTATTTTCAAACCCCGAGCTTCACTTGCAAGAGTTAGATCATTTAAAAGGCATTGAAGATCTTCGATGTTATCTGCCACTATGGCTGTATCATCGGCATACCTGATGTTATTAATAAATATGCCGTTAAGTTTAATACCCGTATTAGAGTCTTCCACTGCTTCTGCGAAGGCTTTTTCTACGTATAAATTGAACAGCATTGGGGACAGTATACAACCTTGCATTACTCCTTTTTTAACGGAGAAATCTTCTGTTTTGTTGGAATTTTGAAGACGTACTGTTGCTGTCTGATTCCAATACAGATTGGCGATGATTCTTATATCCTTTGCATCCAATCCCAACTCTTGTAGGTATTTTATCATCAATTCATGTTTTACATTATCGAATGCTTTCTCGTAATCGATGAAACAGATAAAAACATCCTTTCTTTAATCTAAACAATTCTGTATCAATGTTTGCATACTAAAGATCGCTTCTCTCGTGCCAAGTCCATTTTTGAAACCAAACTGGTTCTTAATTAGGTAGTATTTTTTATGTTTAAGTTTGGAAGAATTTTTTTTTTTTTATTTAAAAGTACAAACGATTCTTATTCTGATTTTTTTTTCTTCTTTCTTGTCTTATTGTTATAAGCTTGGTCCATAAAATGTGTACAATTTTCAGTGACAATAAAGCAATTTACTTATTTACTTACTTTTTATTTGTATTGCTATTAAGGCTAAAAAATGACCAAAAAAATTAGTTTTAGAGCATTATACTAAATATACTCTAGAGATGGAATTGCAGTAAATCTTAATTCCTATGGACAACAAAACAATGTCGTTATCTGTATTGGTAGTTATGGTAGCTGTAATACATTTTATTTTAATAGAATGAAATCTTACACTAAACAATTTTCAGTGAATAGGTTAAAGTAAACAATAGACAGTATTACAGAAATTGTAAGGTGGAAAGATACAATTAATGTTAGAGAAATGAGAAAGGATCAGAGGCACCTTAAATTCATTTATAAAATGTAATTGATTGTATGGAGTGAGTTAGTGTAAGACTAATATTCAGAAATGGAATATAAAGGTAGAGCAACTAAAAGATTAAGTGAGTAATGCGTTTGTTTTTTAAAAGTTAGACAATTTTATCATATCATGTGATATTTAGAATGTTGCAGCAGATATTAGTCAAATGTTGGTTAGTGTCAGTCTTATAACTGATACATTCAGGAGTTTTGTTAATATGTACCATCTCGAGGAAGAGATGGTTTATATAATTGTTTTAAGATTTTTACATTTGTATTGTCAAATTACAGTCAACGATATATACTCAATTTAAACGTTAAGAAGACAAAGCTTGTGATAATTAGCAAGAAAAGGATAACAGAAGGTCAACTCTACGTCAACCAATCCCCTGTAGAAAGAGTGACGCACTGTAACTACCTGAGTGGGCATTCTTCAAGAGTCACAAACTCTCTCTGGATACAAAAGTAAGAATGCTGCAATGCTACGTCTTCTCTGTCCTTTTTTATGGTGTTGAATCGTGGACCTTGAACGAAGATATGTGCAGAAAACTGAAAGAGTCACAAATTAGGAGGTCCTCAGAAGAACGAATAAGAACCGAGAGGTACTGAACACCATCAAATCTCGAAAGTTACAATTCTTCGGACATATCACGCGAAATGAATCCAGATATGCTCTCCTTCAAGCCATCCTGCGAGGAAAAATATTTGGAAAACGAGGTCCAGGAAGAAGAACATCTTGGTTAAAGAACCTCAGAATCTGGTTCAATATAACATCTGTGCAGCTTTTCCGCGCTGCTGCAGATAAGATAAAGATTGCCATGATGATCGCCAACATTCGTAACGAATAGGCACATCAAGAAGAAAGTCAAATTTATATGCTGCAATTTAAGTGGTGATCTACTAAGGCACAAACATTAGTTCAAGATTTCTTTTCTTGTCGTCACTTTTGTGTTGAGTGGCACGTTGTCTTTGACCAATATAACAACTTTGACATTCTCCGCAATTTATCTGGTAAATTATGTTGCTCATTAATGAGTCGAGATTTCGCTTTTATTTCTGAGAACCAGCTTGAATTTAGAAGTGGATTATTGTATTTAGTTAATTTGGTGTTCGAAAATGTTTTGAAAAGTAGAACAATTTGGTGTGTCAAATTTTGTATGTAAGGTAGTTTTTAATGTGTGTTTTGGGTAGCCATTGTTTAAAAACATTTCAAAATGATTCTTTAGATCGACATCTAGGAAACTCCGATCACAGATTATCGTCACTCTATTTTTTAAGGATATAATTGTGTTAATTTGTTTTATTTCTAGGATTAGAATATTAGTTTATAAATCTGTCGGATGCAGTATCTTTTTGATACCAATCTAATATAACAAATTTATATATAAATACTAATGAAAATGGCAATTTTAATATTCCTTCTTCTTATGGTGCCGTGCACCTATAGTGCGTTGGCGAATTATCTTAAGGCCAGACGTTTGTCTTTTGCGGCAGTGTTATTTATGCATGTCCAGTTCTTTATGTTTCGTAGCCACGACATTTGTTTGCCACCTACTCCTCTCTTGCCTTTAATCTCTCCCTGGATGATTAGTTGAGGAATTGCATATTTTTTTCCTCTCAGAATATGGCCGAGGTATCCAATTTTTCGTACCTTGATCAAATTGAGTAGTTTTCTCTCAGTATTTGCCTTTCTTAAGACTTCACTTCCTCGTTTCTCACCCTATCTGTCCATGGTATACGGAACATTCTTCGCAACGTCCACATTTCGAAGGCCTCCAACTTATTAATGGAAGGTACTCTTAACGTCCATGTTTCCATGCCGTATAACAATATGGACCATACATAGCATTTAACCATCCTGTAGCGGAGGTCATCATTCCAAGGTCTATTAAATGGTATAGGTTTTATCTATCAATTTTTCAAAATGTTTATGTCGTGTTAACATTGTTAGCGCATTATTATCAGAACAAGATCTCTTGTGGCAAGAATTGGGGAGACTTTAGAACATAAACAAAGTCATGTGAAAGTGTGCAATGAGTCTGGCGGTAGTACGAGAAAACTGGTCTGCTCACTCGAAGAGCTGGTTCAGGACAGGGCAGGACAACAGCTGGAGATGACCAGATTTAAATCCCATTAAACATTTTTGGACGAGATGAGGAGGTGTTTACGCAGACATGTGCCGGCCCTCAGAAATTCTTAAAAGCTTTGCAGTTAGTGCAGGAATGGGACAATCAAAACTGTTCATTACGGCACCAAATTAGATTATTTTTTTGTTGTGTTTATTATTGACATAAGGTTTTTGTAAAAAATAATTTTCAAAAAAATTGTATGGAAAAACAGTCTTTTTATTTTCAGTCATTTTAAATGGCAATAAAGCTAATGGCAATAAAGGTTAGATGGCGCCATACTGTGATTAACAAAGAAAGCTATGACGAGCAAAATAAATGTCAGTATTGATGGATTGACATAACGACAGCTGTGTATTGCGGCTCCAAATAATAACGATAAAGTTTTCATCAGATAGAACGATGAATATATCAGATAGGAAGATACGTCAGTGAGGAGTATTCTAGCTAATAGACACAATATACGAGAGAAAACGCAATGCAAAGAACTCAACGACCACCAAACAACGTTGAAAAGTTACCTTTTGTTAAAGGGAGTCTTGACCCACTTCACTAAAATTGATCTTAAGATGAAGTTTGGTTTTCATATTTTCCGACTATTTTCCCTTGGTAGGTATATCAATTTTAAGAGGATCTTGTATGATACAGTAAATAGGGTAGTTTCCTCGGCAGTTGTCGCATTCCATTGAGTCTCCATTTCAAAGTATTCATACCATTCATCTCATATTTCTGTCTAATTTCAGATTTCAGTGAGCATTTTTGTATTTTTCTATTAGGCTTTCCTACTTTGTTTACCGCATCGACACGATATATATGCCTTAAATGTTTTGATTTAATTCGTGATGCATGTATATAAGTGATGATAATATAGTGCAATAATAATCGAATATAAGTTCTCCTCCTCCTCAGTCCTAATCCCTTTTGGGATGTGGTGACACTTAGTCCTTTACAGTTTTTTCACGATTTCCCTCCATCCTTCTCTGTCCTGGGCTAGTTTTTTCATCGTACCTGTTCTTCAAGCAATGTGTCCAAAATACTGCAAATATCTCTGTTGTATTTGTTTAAGCAATATATCCTTTACTTTAAGTTGTTCTAATAGCGATACGTTTGTGCGATGATCAATCCAGGATATTCTCAACCTGCGGCGGTATACCCACATTTCAAAAGGGTCCGGTTTATTTTTACCCGCTTTCTTTAAGGTCCACGTTTCGGATGCATATGTGGCTATGGGAAAAATGAGCGCCCTTATCAGCCTTAGTTTTGTGTGTATATTGTTATGATAGAATTTTTCCAAATTACTACCAGTTTCATCATAGTTGTTCTAGCAATAGACAACCTTTTACGTATCTCTCTGTCACACCCTCCGTCATTTGTTATTAGTATAACCGAATATAAGTGTCTATCTAATACATATATGAAAATCACATGATAAATATATTATTCTTGTATAATAATAATGCTAGGTTTGATATTATGGGACATGTATCTGCACATCAAATATTATTGTACCAACCATCTGATATTAAAAAATAAACAAAATGGCAATGCTACATACAGACACTTCATGGTTAAACTTATTATACGGGTTGTTAAAATTAGCAAAATACAACTACGAATACAGGGTTGTATTCTTACCATAGTCTAAAACATATCTGGATTGACGACACTCACAAAAAAACAGAAAAATATTGAGTATTACATCATTTAATTCGAGTTTATGGATGTTTTAAGTGTTTGTGACAATTTATTTGTATTTAAAATATTAGTAAGATATTTCAGTACAAAATTCGTCCATCATAGAACAAGTTGGTCATTTCAATTACCTACGCTGCTACATAAGTTGAGAGAAAGACACATTGATTACACAATGGACAAGTTTCAAATAACCATTGAAGGTACGAAGATACGAAACAATCTTCTTTTTAAGGTGCCTTCTCCACTACTGAAGGTTAGCTATAACTACAGCAAATTGCTCTCTATCTTGAGCTGTTCTTAGTATCGAATGTGTGTCCATGCCTGTCCAGTCTCTTACATTCTTCATCCAGGAGCATTTTCTTCTTCCTGGACCTCTTCTTCCTTCCACTTTCCCTTCCATTATAAGTCGTAGGAAGTTGTACTTTTCTCCTCTGTAAATATGTCCTAAATAACTCGTTTTTCCGTTTTTTACAATATTTAGGAGTTCTCTCTCAGTACCCATTCTTCTTAACACACATCTTTCGAAAAACCCACATTTTAAAGGATTCTATACTTGTAATTCTGAGAGTCCATTACACAAAACAATACTATGTTAAACCTTTGTAACACAGGGTCCACGCCTACTCTGGCATATGAACGTGAACGCTTGGTAAAGACACAAAGTGATAACTTAAATCCTAAACTAGCGAAATCAGATTAAAAAAAAATGAAAGGCAATACAAGACTTGATAGACAGAGAAATGAAGGCATGACACAAAAACTGAATACCTACTCTATCCATGAGAAAAACACGAGTGTTTTACGAGATGTGACCATTTTTTTCAACAGTGTGCGATTTGACAACCTATATCTTTATAAATAATAAAATTTCAAAAAAAATTTTTAGTCTATATTTCTTTAGTAACACCTATTTTGATCTTCTGAAAACGTTTGTGTATAAAATAATATTTAATCTACAAGGTGATTCAAAAGAGTGTTAAGAACCGATGTTGAAATAAATCAAAGATGGTATGAGTACTTTAGAAAGTTACTAAATGAAGAAACTCTGCTGAAACAAATAGACGACATTGAAACGCAAGTTGGGAGAAAATTGAAAGCAACATTGAAGAAACAGCAACAGAAAATTAGATTTCTACCAACCGAGAGAGCAGGCAGGTTTCCAATCAAATTATGGTACCAATGATCACCTCCATACAGTAAAGACGCTCATTGAAAAATCTATTAAATCTATATAACAAACCTCTTGTTTTCACTTTCATAGATTTTCATAAAGCGTCCGACACGATCGAAATAGACATCCTTATAGAAGCAATGAACGACAGCAGGATTGACCATAGGTATAGTCAACTTATTTACAATATTTACAAAAATGCCACTATGACTGTTAAGATACACGATAAAACCCGACCAATAAAAATAAAACGTGGGATAAGGCAAGGACATACATTGTCATCGAAATTATTAATAACGGCCTTAAGAGTATGCCTTTAAGATGGTTAATTGGGACTACAGAGGAGTAACATTAAAAAACTTAACCATCTCCGTTTCGCAGATGATATTGTCCTTATCACAGATGATTTAGCAAACGACACAAATATGTTAACTAAATTGGACTTTGCATGTTTGAAGGTGGGCCTCAGAATGAACTTGTCGAGATCTAAGTTTATGACAATATGGTCCCAAAAACCATTTAACTATTCAAAACAAAGTGGTAGAACTGGTGGAGAAATATACGTATTTGGGTCACGAAATAAGAATCAGCAGAAATAACCAAACATGCGATATCCAAAGACGAATTACTTTAGCGTGGGCAGCCTTTCGAAAACTGCGAGACATACTTAGAGAGAACATACCCAAACATAACATTATAACCTCAAAAGAAAAGTATTTGACCAATGCGTATTACCGATCATGACCTATGAGGCGGAAACTATAACTCAAAACAAGACTACGGCTTCGAAATTGAGAGTGGCACAGAGATGAATGGAACGATCTATGCTGGGAGTGACGTTGCGGAAACGAATAAGAAACGAAGATCTGCGAAGGAGAACGAGTATTGCTGATGTTGTGGAACGCATAGCGGAACTTATTCTGTCGAGAATGATTTTTTACTAAAAGTCAAAGCATCAAACATATTGTAATTTTAATTACAATTATTGTGGTTTATGTATAAGAAAATATGAAATATTCAATGTAAAACATGCCACAAGAAAATACATTTAGAATCATCAGAATGATTTTGGATGTCAATAATTTAAAATATCATCTCTTAAACCATGTAGAAAAGAAAAAAATAGAGAGTGGTAATAGAGAACTAAGATTGCAAGAGCTGCAAGTTGAGCCGTATACTTCATTTGAGACTTTTGTGTAAATTCACGCACCAGTACTACGGCAGACGAATGTAAATAAGTAACAGTTGTATCCATCTCCGATCTATACCAAATAAAATGACAAAACCATCCATAAGCTCAGTGTACTATATAATTAAAAAATTTTAATTTAAAATTTTACAGAATATGTCAAAAATTACCTCATTAGCTGCCGGAATGTCTCTCCAAGTAGTAAGGAAAACCCTTTTATCCAAAGTGCCGTCTTCGGTAAACAGAATCTGAATGGGAATTTGGCAGGCGTAATAGAAGATATCGACGTTGTTTTTAATTGCCACTTGGAGAGTGGTGAGTGGATCCATACGTTGTACTGGCCCAGTAGTAGCCAACGCTAAATTATATTCCAAGCTCTGTCCAGGCTGAAGGGCAGGTACTGTGAGTGGTGAACCGGGAACTATGCCGAAGCTGTTTTTATTAAATTGAATAGCGAAGGCAGACATCGCCTGAAAGTTTAGAAATACACAATGCAAAACAAAAGTTCAATATTTTAGCTTATATAATAAATTATATCAAAGACAGAAGTTGTGAATAACCGTAATTTCCATTGAGTTGAATAATAAAATTATTAGTAATCTATGAATGTAATAAAAACATAGAATATTTAAAATTACATAATGATGTTACCTGCATGGCTTTGTTGGTGAATGTCAAATCCATAGACATCTGTCCGGCTCTTCTTGAAAACGCTCCATGTATTTCCAATCCTTTTCCTTTTTCAGCCGGTAACCATATAGTTTTGGGTGGGGTATACATGGTTGGAGCAGTTGGTATTCCAAAAATGTCACCAAGAAGTCCCGTAGTTGTGGGAGGTGCAGGAGTGGTACCAATATCCAACTGTATAAACGTAAAATATGAAGTATGTAACTACATTTATTTCCAAGTATACATAAAAAATCACTACAACAAAGACTACAAACGATATAATATAGCATTAGTCCTATAAGTATATTTCTTGATTGTTATAAAACTAAATTTAAAAATTAATAAAGCAGCTATTTTATAAGCTTACCAAAGAATCCAATCCTCCACCTAAGAGATCTACATTACTGGCTGGTACAGCTGGTTGTGCGATCGGAGGAGCTGGAGCATTAAGATCCATTGAGAGTAAGTCGCCAATGAGACTCTCTTGATTAGGAATAACAGTTGGTTCTGGAGCGCTACTTGTTTCTTCAGCAGATCCTTGTCTAGCTGGCAAAGACTTTCTAATACCTGCAGACCTTCCTTCGACAAAGGCAGTTGGAGGTTTATGGTAAACACTGGCAAGTGAAGATATATGGCAGATCAGTTCGTCAAGAAGTGTAGGTTCTAGTAAGTCAGTTTCTTCAGAAATCAGAGGTTTGTCGGCAAGAACTACTTCTTTGGCTGCTGCAGGATCGGTACTTAATAACCTATGTGCAACATATTTAAATAAAAAATAGCTAGAGTAATAGGAAATAAATAAATACATTATAATGGAAAAAACATCTTATCTGAGTATTCTCCTAGCTCTTTCAAGCATCATTGATATTAATCTCTGTCTTAATAGTACGAGATCCCGCTGCAAAATCACAACGTTCATAACGTAGTTAATCAAACTCAGATTTTTACATACAATAGGAGAATATATTGATAACAGGGTGCCAGTCAAGAAGTGGTCGAAAATAGTTTTAATTAAATTAATGGAAATTAATTTGTAAAAATATCGCTCATTTTTTTTTTTAATAAAATATCATCCTCATCATAGCAATGCATGTAAAGAATTTGAAAAGCCATGGGTACCATTGCCTAATCAGTCGCAACTGCTTCGTTCTAATTCCAGCTGTAAAACCAATGACTGCCAGCATGAGGCAACCATTGGTATGCCAAGCACCTTATAAATGTGTTTTACAACTTCTAAAATGGTTTTCAACCTTCTAACAGAGGCATTGGTCTTCTAATGTGTTTATCGTGTTTTGTATTGATAATTACTTTTGCATGAGGTATTTGTAGCCTCCTATATGACGAAGCTCTGAAGATGGAATGTGACAAGCTGAAAGTACTTAGCTGATTTTATTAAAAAATTTTACATACTATCAAGTTTTTTAAAACATATACCCGTTGCCAGTTTGACCTATATTTTAGAAGTTTGCACAAATCATACTGTCTTTTTCCAAAAAAACATAACAAACGGCTATATTTCAATTGCAAATTATAAATATTAATAATTTAACATTAACAAACCTCCAATAAATAAAACCACGATCTCTTAGATCTGGGTTATCAGAATCCTGTGTAGCTAAGCTTAATACATGCTGAACTAAACCTTGCGTATGTTGAGGCCGCTTCAAAAACAGTTTTACAACAGCTGTTAATAATTGCAACTGTACTTGAGCATTTTCATCTCCGAAACCTGCAAGTAAATAAAAACGTTGAATCTTTTAACGGTAACACGAAAACAAGAAATATATGGTAAGAAAAAAAAGGAATTAGATTATAGGTTGGTGTTAACGAAATTATCTAATATATTTATATATTAGATATTTATACATAAAAATATTTATATATTAAAAAGCAGAACATAAAAATATAGCTGCTTATATAATCACAAACTGACATATGTCATAAAGATAACTCAATGTATCAAAGGGAACGTATCAAGAAAAAACAGGTAAATATCTGTTAAAGTTATTAACCAGAGAAGATATTGGAGGAAATGTCAACTTTAACGAAAGAGTTAAAATGGGCAAAAAAATTAACGAGAATAAATTGAAGAGACCAGAAAATTAAAAGACAGACTAAACTAAATAATATGTGATATTTCGAAAGCAAATACGAAGGATTAAAAAACAAAAATAAGAAAGGGAAGAAATATATAAGCGTCGAAAGTGCATATGTAAAAATTGGATATAATACTACAAGAAGACATATAGAATAAGAATAAACATTAATACATCTAGAATAAGTAATTACTATTTAAATGGGAATAAGCCACAATTAAAGGTTAAAGTAAGTTTATTGACGTTTCAATTTCCACTTCTTCATTAGTAAATTTACTAATGTTTGTATTTTGAGAACGGTTTCCGAAGTGGAAATTGAAACGTCAATAAACTTACTTTAACCTTTAATTGTGGCTTACTCCCATTTAAATAGTAATTACTGTAAAATGCCACAAGAAAATAGCTTGAGAACAATAAAATAAGTAACTGAACCATAAAAGCTATAGAAGATAAAATTGTAAATATAAAGATTCAAAGAAACAACTTCTTATTACAATATACAAAAATGGACACTAAAAACTGTTGAAAACTTAAAGAGTGGATCAAATATAGCAGCCTAAGAAAGAACGTAAGGAAGGAACAAATATATAAATATGTGGCTTAAGTGGCATTTTGTATAAATATAAATAATAAAGAACTGTAATAAGTTTCATATTATACCTTCCAGGAAACTATCCAATAGCTCATCCGCATTGTCAATTCTTTCTGCATATTCTCCAATAATCCATACCATACTGGCCCTCGCTTCGGGCTCATCAAGAGTATCCAAATTTTCACAAAGTGTACTGATAATACTTTCATACTTATTGGGATATTTTCTGTAATCATAAAAAATCAAAAGTTACACTTTAAAATCTATATTTCTTGCTGATATATTCGCTATGATAAACTCCTGGAAGCACTGACGCATTGACTACCGATATATAAGGTCAATTTACAATACATACAAGAACGCAACTATGGCGGTGAAACTACATGAAAACACGGATCATATCCCAATCGGCAGAGGAGTCCGACAGGGTGATACCTTATCGCGTAAACTGTTTACCGCAGTACTAGAATATGCTTGTAAAAAACTTAACTGGAAGAGAAAGGCCTAAACATTGACGGTAGAAGATTAACAAATTTTAAATTTGTAGACCACATAGTTTTGTTCTCGGCCAACCTCAAGGAGACATGTACAATGTTACATGAACTTCAGTTAGTGTGTGCCAGTGTGGGTCTTAAAATAAACATCTCCAAAACAAAATTCATGACAAACCTAGTACCTAGTGGAAATATCAATATTGGAGACAACGAAGTAGAGCTGGTGGAAAAATACATATATCTTGGACACGAAATAAAGATCACAAGAGATAACCAAACATGCGAACTACGAAAATAGGTAAATATATTTTTTACGTTTTGATTTAATCATTTAAACATTAAAGATAAAGGTTATTAAAAGGTTAACATTTCTGAAGAGCTACACCTAGTGTCATAATCAGCGAACTTTTTATTAAACTGCAAATAAAATGACTTAAACTTGTTTATTTAATACAATAATTATTGTAATTTATATTAGAAATTGACGTTTCTCTTTGCATTAATTTTTCTTATAATTTGGAAACAAATAGAACTTGAATTGACTATTTCTTGTTGTGTTTTTAAAATTGATAATATAACATTTGCTAAATCCCATTTTTTTCAATGATAGTACTTATGAAATGTACTAATAAAAATGCAAGAGTTCGCAAAAATGCAAGAATTGTTTCTCGAATCCCCTCTAAGTACTTACACACAGCGGATAAGTAACGTTCGCTTATTGGCGATGTCAACAAACTATAGGGGTCGCTTTGACAGATGATCAGCTGATCACGCACGTAGGAACAGAACAAAACAGAGTTACCATAATCTTTGTAGGTGAATGATTGTTGTGTCTAAAAATTATCCGTATTTATTATCTTCCATTTATTTTTTTGTTAACGCAGTAGCAAATAAAGAAATTGAAGTTAGTCTGCTCCATATTTTGAAATATATATGAGACACAAAAGACCTTTAAAAGAAGGCGAGGCCTTTTTAAAGGCTGGCCACGTTGTGTTGTGTGGCAAATATAATAACAAATTAGTCGGTTTGTGTCTGCAAGTGACTAATTTAAATGGTGCCCCACATAAAATCACTGTGGATGTGTTAAGAGACGAGTGGGTGGTAAAATGCACGTGTAAAGCCCGCCAGGGAGGAATGTGCGTGTGTTTTATTACGCATTAGTCTAGCATTCACCAGATCCTCATTGATTTTTCTTTCGTGTTTTCCTTTAAGAAGGCATTGAGAGGGAATAACATCTTTCTTCGAAAGTTTCTTTTGTCCTGCTGCAGTTGTAATAGAAATTTTAATTAAGATCTATAGTAGTGTATATATTTGATTAGGTTAGGTAGGCACATTATATAATAATAAACAATTCTGTTCAGCAAATTTACTTGAAAAAAAAATCTGTCTAAAAAATAATGTGAACACAGGATCCTATCACTTAATATCGATTTCCCAATTTTTAACTCCTGTTACTCCCAACGATCTTGTAGATCTTAAGGAAAAAAGTGCATAGTTATTCCTTCCGATCGATAATTACTGCATTGCCGTGCAGAACATTACTGTTTACATTTACTTTTTAACATTTTGTTACCTTATTGTGCTTTATTTAATAATATTTAAAATGTTTATAACTATGTTATATGTGTATAACTGAATCCAAAATGTTTTGTTATCCTACGTGCACTAGTTCAAATTTTTACCGCACCGTGCCGTATTTCTTCTATTAGTTTACCCTCAACGATGGTATATCCGCAGAGTGCTTAAAACATGGAGGAGAAGCGTTGTACAGTTCGATATACAAGCTAATTCAAGACATTTAGCAAGAAGAAACAATGCCAGATGAATGGAAAGAAGGGGTTATTGTACCAATACACAAAAAAGGAAACAAAAAGCAATGTATTAACCACAGGGGAATAACACTCCTAAACACCACCTACAAAATCCTTGCAAACATCCTGCTAGAAAGAACCAAAACATACACAGAAGAAATCGTTGGAGATTATCAATGCGGATTTAGACCGGGCCGCTCTACAATTGACCAGATATTCACAATAAAACAGATAATGGAAAAATGCTGGGAGTTTGATCGTGAGCTTCATCAGATGTTCATAGATTTTAAACGAGCATTTGATAGAGTATGTAGGGACAGACTGTGGACAGCGATGCAGGAACTTGGCTTTCCAAAAAAACTAGTCCAGTTGATACGGATGTGTATGGAACGGTTACGATGTAAGGTGAGAGTTGGACAACAATACTCGGAGACATTTGAAATAAACAATGGACTAAAACAGGGAGATGCACTTTCACCACAACTCTTCAACTTAGCTCTGGAGCACATAATCAGAAGTGCAAGAATCGAAAAACCGAATACAGTATTTCATCGAGAAGGACCAAACTTACTACTGGCATTTGCCGACGATATAGATCTAATAGGAAACACGCGATTAAGGATGAATGAGACTTTCGTAAGGTTTGAGAAGGAAGCAGAGAAGATGGGGCTCCAAATCAACGAAAACAAGACGAAATATATGTATATGAGCCGCAATAACCAAAGCAGAGACAGAATCGGTCAGAACATTACCATCGATGACTTTAACTTTGAGCGCGTTAGAGAATTCAAGTATCTTGGAACAACAATAACTGAAGACAATAACGGATCACAAGAAATAAACAGGCAACAGATGTATATTTGCCCTCCAAAACCTTATAAAATCAAAACAACTAACACGACGTACGAAGATACAGGTCTATAAAATAATCATACGACCCGTTGTGATGTATGGAAGCGAAACGTGGACGATAACAAAGGCAAATGAAGAGAGACTACGTGTTTGGGAAAGAAAAATCCTAAGGAAGATCTTTGGTCCGGTGCTTGATGAAGCATCAGGACAATATAGGATAAGAACTAATAAAGAGCTTGAATAACTTTACCCAGACGCCAACATCATAAAAGAAATAAAGTCCAGAAGACTCCAATGGGCAGGACACCTCAGAAGACATTCTGACGAACGAACAATAAGACTGGTGTGGGAGGAAGTCCCAACTGGAAGGAGACCACGCGGACGCCCTCGTCTCCGGTGGCGAGATAATATAGCAGGAGAACTAAGCACTATGGGCGTGGAGAATTGGATGGAGGTTGCTCAAGACAGAAAACAGTGGAGGCATGCTGTCGAGTCGGCTAAAACCCACGAAGGGTTATAACACCACGGAGTAAGTAAGTAAGTCTGCCCTCAACCTTGACATTTGCTGTTTGATTCCAATATAGATTGCATATAATTCGAATATCTCGGCTGTCTATATTTTTCTTTATTAGAACTTGTCTTAGTGGTTCATGTTGTACTTGGTCAAAGGCCTTTTCGAAATCAATAAAGCAGGCGTAAATTTCTTAGTTCATGTCTAAGCATCTCTGTGAGAGAACGTTCATTGCAAACAGAGCCTCCCTTGTACCCAGCCCTTTTCTGAATCCCATCTGAGTCTTACTGATGTCTACGTCTAATTTCCTATAGATCCTATTATAGATTATTTTTAAAAACAGTTTTAGAGCATGACTCATCAAAGCTATCGTACGATATTCGTTGCATTCCTTTGTATTTGCCTTTTTTGGCACTAGTATAAAGGTCGAACGGAGCCATTCCCTAGGTATTATTCCAGTTCTATATATTGTGTTAAATAGATCTAGGAGTATTTTAATAGATTCATCGTCCATAAGTTTGAGCAGTTCTACGGGAATTTCATCAGAACCGGGGGCCTTACCACTTTTTGCTTGTTTAATTGCATATTCTATTTCTTCTCTGATTATATCAGGCCCTGTATCATTTGTATATTTATTTGAGATTTCTTGTCTATCTTTGTCATCAAACAGTTGTGATATGTATTCTGTCCATCGGTTCATTTTTTGTTTTAAATCTGTTACAATTATACCATCTGTATCTTTGATCTGTCCTGTCTGTGTTGTTCTTCTCCTTCCTGTCATTTCTTTAATCTTTTTGAATACATTAAAAAAGTCATATTTTCGCTCCAATTGTTCCAACTCCTGGCATTGCTCACTTAGCCATCTTTCTCTAGCTTCTCTTATTTTCTTTTTATCAGTTTATCTGTTTCTTTGTATCTTATCGGATTATTTGTTTTGTGTACCCTTATTTCACGCATCAACTGTAGTATTTCCTCATTCATCCATTCTTTATGTTTCCTTTCTTTCGGTGTTAAATTTTCTCTCCCTGCCAACATTACGGCATGTTTAATATTTTCCCATTTTTGGTCTATGTTATCAGTATTTCTAAACGCCGTTTAGTTCTAGATAATGTGTAAAACAGAAAAAACATCAATTTTCACTCAGTATATGTACAAAATGGTCACTTCGGACATCTTGGGTATATTTTAATCTCAAATAAAACTTCGTCTTCTAACGTTTTTCAACAGCCCTGGTGTGACCAACCTAATGGCGAGCGGTATTTTTATTCTTAAGTGAGCTACATTTAGTGGTTTAGTTTTGTATAAAAACTAAGTAGTTTTTGAGGAGAACTGATATCCGAGTAGTCGATCTTGATTCTTTCTGCTATTGTAAAGCAAGAAAAAAATACATAACCATTATATACATGAAAATTTGATCAAAAATGAAATCAAGATAAACACCACTAATAGCTCATCTCATTGTATCTCATCGTCGACGTGTTGTGCTGGTTTGTTTTCAACGCTGATTGAAAACAAACCAGCACAACAAACAGAAGTCAATGAACGAACTCGTCAGCATGATGATGATACAGGTTGGACGTTCATTCCAAATAAGAAGCGTTAGCGATCAGAAGATAGGTCTCCGAATAGAAATAAAAAAAGCAAACTATTACTCAGGATTATTGGTTGCAGAAACCCACGCCAACGATCAATAGATATAACCCCTTAGCTACTGATAATATACAAGAAGAAAATAAAATTGCCGAATCCAAAAAAACCTCCACCAATATTCATTCAGAATGTCGAATATATAAAACCGCTACGCGAACTGCTTGATGTAAAAATACCAAATCTGTATACCATTAAATGCCTTAGGGATACCCAAAGTCAACACCAGGTAGATTCACCTGAAAACTATTCGAATATTGTTAAAAGTTTAACAGAAAAAGACGCAGTTTTACACATATCAGATAAAACAGGACCGTGAATTTCGAGTGGTTATCCGCAATATTCACCCCTCAACAGAAATGAATGATATAAGGACACTCGAAGAACTAGGACATTCAGTCAAAAGTATCTCATAAAACATAAAACGAAAAGAGGATTAAAGCAACTCACACTTTTTCACTTAGAATTGGTTGGTAATCCAAATAGTAAAAATATTTATAAAGTCAATAAACTACTTAACTCAATAATTGAAGTTGAACCACCACATCGCAAAAGAGAAATTCCGTAATGCCACAGGTGTCAACATTTCGGACACTCACAATATACAGCCAATCACTTGTCATCTGAATGTCCAAATCAAACACGAATAAAAGATGCAAAGTGCACAAAATGTCGAGAGAATTATCCTGCCAACTACAGAGGCTGTTTGGTCTACAAAGAGCTACAAAGGAAACAATTTCTAAAGTTCTTCTTCTCTTCTTCTTCTTCTTCTTCTTTATACGAAATTCTGCTTGTTCATTGGCTAATTAATACCTCTATGGCAGGTCACTCCATCTTTTGGGCGGTCGTCCGATACTTTTTTTGCCGATTGGTGACTTATCTCTTGCTATTTTGACGACACTGGTATCCTCCATTCTGCTTATGTGGTTATTCCATTCTTTTTTTTTCTATTTTGTGTCGTGTCGATTCATTTATACAATGTATGTTACATTTTCTTCTAATGTCCAATGTTGAGGGAGAAAATACAATCTCATTGCCCAACTTCGTAAAATTACTCAAATACTCGTCGCCCATATGTTACGTCGTCCATATGTTACGTCGCCCATATGCAAACGCCGTGGAGAAACAAAATCATACCACCTCATCTATCCCAAATACTACACAAGAAAAACTGAAAACATCAGAAACAAGTAACGATTTAGAGTTGATGGTTCAAAAACCTGTGGAGAGAATAGATAAAATGTTCGACCTTCTCATAACGATGCTATCAAAATTAAATGTTCAGCCCTACAATTAAAATTGTATATTGGAACGCAAACGGCCTCACAAACCATAGTGAGAAGATTAAAGCTTTTATAAAATTAAATAACATTGATATCATAATGGTCTCTAAAGCTCATGTGACTAATAAGAGCCATTTTAGTATGTCAGATTTCTGCACCTATGTCACACCACATCCAATGGGAAAAGGTCATAGTGGAACTACGTTAATCATCACAACTAACATAAAACATCATGAATTAAATAAAGTATGTGAAATCAATATTCAGGCAACCTCGATATCTGTAGAGCTTTGCAAGGGACAGATAACTATGTCAGTTGTGTATTGTCCCTTTGGTAAAATATTTTAAGGGAAACATTTTTCTAGATATTTCAATGGGCATGGTCATCACTGCATTGCAGCAGGTGACTTTAAAGCAAAACAAACAATATGGGGTTCAAGATTGATAACAACACGCGGAAGAGAAATTAAAAGTTTCTTAAAAAAAAATAAAAGAAAAAATTCTACTTGACAACCAACCTACTGGCCTACAGATAGAAATAAAATACCCGATCTGATCGACTTTGCTATCGTAAAAGGAATTAGTACTAACTTTTTAAATATTAAACCTTCCTTTGACTTTTCTTCGGACCATTCTCCCATATTTATTGATGTGATGGATAAAGCCTATAATACAAATAAATACCCCACATTTTAAAATCATCAAACAAATGGGAGTCTGTTCAGAAATAATATTCAAAATGAAATTAATTTAAATCTTCCTCTTAAAACAAATGAAAATTTTGAGGAAGCAGTCCATTACATTACATAAATCATTCAAAAGAAATTAATATATTCACTAAATACATAATCTTTATCTGAAATATTTTTACATGAAATACCTAGAAAGGTTTACTCTTCATATTATTATCGTAATTTTAACTACGATCATGAATCCACCTCTTTAATAATTTCGTGCACGCCTATGATTTCGATTCAAGAATTCAAGGTCTTTTATCTCTAACCAAATATGTGTGACACTGTCAAAGCAGTAAAGTGTCAAATAATATAAACGGCTATCTTCGTGTTAGTGTGTACTTAGAAGAATTTAAACGTCACCTTTTAAAATTGTAAATTTTATTTTTAAAGATAAACATCGTATTAACTTATTTTCTAAAAGTAAAATTTATAATTACAAAAAGAGACTACACCGCGTTTATCTTTTAAATCGCTATTAAGTTCTAGATTTGCTGGAATTGAGGTTAAATTATTTGGGGAGTGGTTATATTTAAAAAGTTAAAATGTTGGATGAAAATTTATTGCAAGAACGATTAGCACAATTTAATCCCGAGCCTTTAGTAGACACTAGTCACAACAAACCCAAAGAATGCATCGAATCATATACTATCCATGAGGATGAGTATAACATTGATTTGGCCAAAACCAACTTTTTAAATTTTTTGGACAATGAAGAAATAAAACAGTCAGCTGAAAATATTATACGAAAATATGGTGTAGGAACATGTGGCCCAAGAGCTTTTTACGGTAATAATGTTTTTAATTTCATAAAATTGGAATGAAGATTCATTTTCGAATTTGAAGTAATTGATTTTTATACAAAGTTGTTGATCAATTTATATTATTTGAAAATCCATTTCAGTAAAATTAACAAGAAGGAGTGTACACAATTTATTGCTTGATTACTTTATAAATGTTCTATAACTTTTTTGGGCATTGTCTCCTTGAATTGTTATCAATGTATAAAATATGTAAAATGGACAAAAAGTGTAGAATTACAATTAAATAACAGTTGAAATAAATAGTGAATATGCAGAAAACTTCCTTCTAAATATGAGAATTATATATATAAGGGTCCCTGTACTATACATCCATAAGAAACGATATCAGTGTTATTGGTGTTTTATTTATATATCAGCTACTTTATATATGATCTACTCGTTGATATTTAATTATATCAATGATCACTCCCAATTAATTGTTTAGTACATAGTTACATTAATTTAAAAAGGAGATAACTATTCGGTTCATTTTAAAGGAACAAAAAAACGTTTACTGGTTATATCAGTTGGTAGATAGCAGATATTTTAGTCATAATTATCAATAAATAGGTACTGATTTCTTAACAATTGTACCTCTGTTTTTTTTTTAATTTCAGTGAATATATACTATCTATTCTATAAAATTATTATATTTTGTTATCCTAGAGGATAGAGACCATAAAACTCATATTTCTTAATTACATGAAATCAACATCTCTAAATTATATTCTACACAAAATTATCGGAATACATAAGCCCATATTTATTATAATTGTTAAATTGATATGGACTGACCTTCAGTTGATTTGTGATTACTAAAATTTAAATAGCACACTGATAATTGGAAGTGAATATGCAAAGTTAAAAATGGTTTATACAGATATTTTTAGAATATATATACTTACATATCCTTAAATGTCTTTGATATTATATAAAAATATTATGATTATTATTAAAATAATATTACTTCCTATAAAAAATGTGTACAAGAAGATTCAACATTATTGTTAATAGTTTTAATTTTTCTTTTGCTCTCATAGTGCATAAGAAGTGTGAAAATATGAAGAATTGTAAAACTAATTTGGGACTAAAATAAAAATTGAATAATAAAATGTTACTGTTTCTGAATAAATAAATAACTAATCTTCTGCGCCACTTTCAGTGGTGGAGATGGGAGATGAAGCATACTAACATGTCATGCCAGAACTATCTTAACATAATATGCTCTCTCATTTTGACATTAATTATGCTCCCTAAACTTCCTCTAATATACTCATTCTTAATTTTACCCTTTATGAGCATCGGAGTGCGTACTAGTTCTCAGACTATGGCACTCGATGGCACATCTTCATATATCCATCACTCCCTTACTTATCATAGGTACTTAAAACTATTATTTTTTACAAATTGGTGATAAATTTTTGTGACAAATAAGTAGTTTTTTGTCAGATATGCTATAGTCGATACATTGAGGTTGGGTATATTTTGATAGAGCCATTGTCAAAACGTACAAAGTACAAATCCTATCACTCGTTATTAACTGAAATTTCTTACTATTGTAAACTTCTTTCATTGAAAAGAAAAAAATAATCATGAATAATGGAAGCATATACTCATTAATTATATTAAAAACTTGGCAGTTGTAAATAATAATCTATAAATGACTATAAAATTTCAAAAATACACATTTAAACCTTGTTTTATTGTTGTAATAGATGTAGTTTTATTTTATTAATAAACTGCATTTGAATAATTTTTTACTTTCAAGTTATAAATAATATTTGCTATGAGTATGTGTGATTAGTTCTATAATAACTTCCAGTCGAGATTTCAACAACATAGCACAAAATTATTAAAGTGTTCAGTGAATAGAGTATAATATCTGCTTTTATGTTTTAAAAGATAATAGTAATTGATGGTTAGATTTATTAAATCAAGATGGATGTGTTTGTTGTTTGTGATTTTTTACTGCATACTATAATTAAACTTTTAGAGAAGATAACCTACAATAAGTTTTCTACAACTTAAAAATTGCACTTTAGGAGCAATAGTTTTTTGGGTTTGTATCATTGACACTGACAAGAAGAGACATTGTAACCCATATTGTTTTTTGTTAATACATTTCTAGTTTTTATTTGGTTGAATTAAATTTAGACTAGAATTTTATTAAATCGTTTTGATACACTGTGGGTTGTAATTTTTCTGACTTCATTGAATCATGTACAAGACATAATAAATATGATAATTTCGCTCCCACTGTGTCTAAATTACTTCATATATCCAAAACTAGTATAGTATAAAAGTATAATATTGGACAATTTGTAATTATCATATAAATAAAATCACTAAATTTGTAAATGTATATAATATTTTTGCTACATCTAAATATATACAATATTTTTAGACATATGGAGTCCTTACACCTACAAAATTTAAGTAGTTTTTGTTCAAAAATGTAACAAATTTATAATAAATAGTTTCTATTTTTAGGTACAACAGATGTTCATCTAGATCTAGAACAGAGGCTTGCAGACTTTCTGCATATGTCAGATTCTATTGTTTATTCCTATGGTTTTGTAGCTATATCAAGCTCAATTGCAGCTTATTGTAAAAGAAGTGACACTGTATTTCTAGACAAAGAAACCAACTTTCCAATACTACAAGGTGTGATAGCATCTAAAAGTAAAATTGTGTATTTTGACCATAATGATCCAAATAGTCTAAGACGAGAAGTGGAGAAAGTGATCAAAAATGAGAAAAAACCATCAAGAAAGTTTTTAATTGTAGAAGGAGTATCTTGGAAGACTGGTAAGGATTCTGTTATTTAGCATAATATATGAAAATACATACTTTTCAAAATTATTTGTGATCAATAATACCTGTATTACTGTGTTTACAATTTTAATAATGTACAGTACAAATTGTAAATATTTGTTATGTGAATCAGTGCATAATATTTAAATTTGAACTTTGAACTAAAATTTTCATATATGACTTAAGTAAAATCATCCATTTGTAGAATTTTAAATTTATAGAAGGTTGTTTTAGGAAAGCTGCTGCCTTTGGAAGAATTCTTAAAAGTAGCTGAAGATTACAAAATTCGCATTTTCTTAGAAGAATCTTATTCTATTGGTATATATGGAGATCATGGTAAAGGTCTAACTGAACATTTTAATATTGATCCCTCAAGAATAGATATGATAATAGCTACCTTGGAAGCAGCATTTGGTTCTATAGGAGGATTTTGTGCTGGCTCCCATTTAACAATTGAGCACCAAAGATTATCAGGTGCTGGATATATATTTTCAGCCTCCTTGCCCACTTTCTTGGTACAAGCATGTATAGAGTCTATTAGACTCATGGAAGACCGTCCCAAACAAATAAGAGCAATAGCAAGAGAGTTCCAGTTATTTTTAGAAGAGACATGCCAATACAAAGTTGACAGTGACCCTGAATGTGCTTTTAAAGTTTTTAGTGTTAAAGAAGAAAATGGGAGAAAAGAGAAAGAGGAAATAATTCACTCATATTGCAAACAAAATGGTGTACATTTTCTAATAACCGAAGGAGGTCTAATGATAAACCTTTCAATTAATACATTTACTAATAAGAGCAGATTGGAGAAAGTTTATAAAGTTCTGGAAAATGCATCCAAACTATAACTTAAAGCTGGTAGCACCACATTAGGAATATTAAGCACAACTGCACAGTTATGGGCATTTACTTGATAAATTGCTGTAATGTATTTTAATTTAAAATCAAATTAATATTAGGGTAACACAAAGCTGGTATTAACATTCCTTGTGCAAAAATAAAATATATTTAAAGTTTAATTTTTGTCTTCATATACCTAAAACCTTCATTTTAAGTTTAAATTACTATTATTAATTGATTTTAAAAAATTAAAGACAATATTCAATTGAGCATGATAACTGCAGGAAGTTTTTATAAAAAGTGACACAAGAAAACTCTTCATTGTAAGACACATGACATACTACCATGATCAATATGGAATATAAGAAAAGATCAAAAATACATAAAAGCAGAGATTAATTAGATAGCAGAACAAAATGATCTAAAGCAGCCGTACTCAAACTGTGATACCGTACCACTGGTGGTACCCAAAGTACTTAAAGGTGGTACTCTCTAAACTAGAAGAAATGAATTTTAATAAAACTTACTAACAAATGTTATCTTTTACATTGTGCATGGCAACGCTGTGAGTTTGAAACCACAAACGCGTAAAGTCTTATTCATTGTTGGCAACACTGGAATCACGGCAAATTGTCACCGGCCTTGATTTACGTCATCAATTTCCTCATGGCCGTTAGTTGTTGTGGTTGGTTTGTCGAAACGAGTAATTTGCTGTTACTGATTCGTGCTCATTTTTGCATATAAAAAATTGATACATGGCTTAAAAGAGACAACAGAATATCTGAAAATCCCAGTCCATCGAGCTTTACTTCAGAGTCGGAGCCTATACAGGGTGACGACAAAAAGAGTTCTTTTAAAAAACTAAAAGTGGCGGTTAGGAAATATGATCCTGAATACATCAATATGGGATTTACATTCACAAATATAAATGATAAGCCAAGGCCCCAATGTGTAATCTGTTCGGAAATTCTTTCTAACCAGTATATGAAACCTTCGCTATTAGAACGCCACGTCAATACAAAACATTCAGTGTTAGAAAATAACCCTAAGGATTACTTCATTCGGAAGTTAACGGAGATGAGGAGCACAAAAAAATTACCGTCGAATTTCACCGGCAGCAACCAAAAAGCAGTAGAGGCATCGTTTCTCGTGAGTTTAAGAATTGCGAAGTGTGGAATAGCACATACCATCGGTGAAGAACTAGTTCTGCCTGCTGCACAAGATATGGTAACATGTATTTTTGGGGAAAATTCAGGTAAACAGCTTAGCATCATAGGATTGAAATAATGGAATTAAATGTTAAAGAAAAATTGGTAAACCGGATAAAAAATAGTATTTTTTTGCAATACAACTTCATGAGAGCACAAATGTAACAAACTATGCTCAGCTTATGGTTTATGTGCGATATATATTTCAAGAAAATCAATGATTTTTTTGTGGAAAATGGACTATACTGGAAACAATGCTTTTGCAATGAACTTTTCTGTTCGATGGTGCCCCAGCCAAGACAGGAAAATACGGAGGTGTAACTGCCAAAGTAAAACTGGTTGCAGAAAATTGTACTTTTACCCATTGTAGTATCCACAGAGAAACTGGTAGCAAAGCGAATGCCAGAATTTTAACATGTTCTCCATGAAGCCATTCAGATAGTTAATTTCATAAAATCTCGAGCCTTAAACTCGCATTTATTTTCAAAACTATGCTCTGAAATGGGAAGAGATCATATTCAGTTATTGCTACACACAGAGGTAAGATGGTTATCAAAAGGAAAAATGTTGAACAGTTTATTCGAGTTGCATTCTGAAGTACATGTGTTTTTAATGGAAACCAATTTTAAACTGTGTGATAAGTTACTAAGCAAACTTAAGCTTACAAGGTAAATCACATAATCGATTTTCTATAAACAACAAAATAAATGCTTTTATCAAGAAATGTTATATGATGAAAAATAGTTTTTCAAACAAGTTTACCAATTTAGAAAATTTTGTTGGTTGAGCATGAAATAAAGATTAAGAATGATATTATTTTTAACATAAAACAGCATTGTCAAATGCTAATTGATGGTTTTAAAGAATATTTTGATGAAGACTATACTCAGTTTCTTTGGATACAACAACCATTTATTTTGGATAGCATTCCTGAAACATTAAAACAGGATGAAAAGTCTTTAATAGAACTATCTTGTGATGGGGGTTTGAAAATAGAGTTTTCAAAATTAGAATTAGCCGAGTTTTGGCTAAATATTAAAAATGAATATCCAGCCTTATCAAAAAAAGCATTGTTTCTACTTCCTTTTACGACCACCTACCTATGTGAAACTGGCTTTTCTGTTATGCTACAAGTGAAAAATAAATTTCGCAGTAGGCTTAATCTTGATCCAAATTTACGAATGAAACTAAGCACAATTGAATCTGATATCTGGAGATCGAAAATCGTGGTCTACAAAACTATTATCAGACCAATAGTATGTTATGAATGCGAGACATGAGTGATCACAGAAGACAAGGTCGGAGGAATAGTTTGGAGGAGGCCAAGGCTCAATTTGGTCTGTAGCGCCATTGGAGAGAGTGATTTAACTAAATACGGGTCGTTTCGTTACTTAATCTCAGAAATAAAGATACACAACAAAACAAATAATTCAAAAACTACACACTATACAAAAATTTAATATGTTAATTATTCCAATTAAGAGAGGCAGTAATTAAAAATAAAAAGGCAAATTTATTTATTTTTGAAGTGAATACTTATCGCCCGGTATGACGTTTTTGCACGGACACGAAATCATATTTAGAGTCACTCGAAAAATGACACATAATATACATACATATACCATCATCATTCCGACTTTACAACCCTGTTTGTCATTCGTAAATATCACCTACCTCCGCCAAGCATGTATTCCTATATTTCTCATATTTTCATTGATGCTATCAAGAAACCTTGTTCTAGATCTTTCTCTTCCAAAAGAGTAGAAATCCGAAGATTGCTTACTTGGCTAAACTAAAATTCAAATATTTGTCTACTGCGCTTTTTACAATATATAAAGCAGACAGATTGATGTATTTACCGAAAAGGCGAATCTACAATTTGCATTCACGACCCGTCGTTTCTAATACTCCGAATATGAGTAAATAAACAAAGCAGAAACAGGTTTGAGACAGGGGCAGACTAAATCCCCTAATACATTTAACATTTGATTCATTGATATATTTCATACAAATTAAGAGAGATGATTTTTTCAATTTAGAAAATGAATTTTAGCTCTTCTAGCTAACGTTACAATCAGGTGGCTTAACCACATAAAGTATAACAGAGGAGGTATTATTGACCCAGGGCATCCAAAGTAACTTTCAGTACAAAGCCTCTCCATTCGTTATGTTCTGCGATGGACAAGGATGGTTGATTATAACTTGCGGGGTCAGATAGGTACCACTCCATTAAGGAGTGTGACCAGTCTGATCTTCGGCCAAGTGAGTCCCACTGTTCCATCGGGACACATATGTCACTCGAAGCTGGGGTTCTACAAAAAATTGTTGTATGTGTGTAGAAAAAGAAGCAGAAAAAGTTGAAAGAAAAAGATATTGCACACACCAATGATAAAAAACGGCAGAAAATACGAAAACTATGTCATACAGAAAATGAAATAAGATTCAGTGGCGAACATTTTAAAGCTGATTTTTTTTGTTGTGTGCGATTCATTAGTCATTAAAGATCTGAGGGATATAAAACTATTAACAATAAATTCAAAACAATTTTTCATCATGGTGATGTTAGTGACTCTTCAATAGAGGAATTGAAATGTTATGAAGTAGATTTAAACCTGGGGTGTAGGGTTGTATTATAGAGGTAGCACCTTTTATCGGAACGACCACATCGAGCGTCATAGACGGGAGATGGTTCTTAATAAGGCAACTAACTCTCACTCTGGTCTCATAAGGCAACTAACTCTCACTTATGGCTCCACGTGCCACACCCCGGGCAACTGCATTGGTCTGCAGGCTAAACTAAGTGAGGGTAGCCAGATATGGCGAAAATTTCACCGAGCGAATGCCGGTATAAGCAATCCCACACTTACTGACCAACGGCTTCGGGCGGATGAGTTGGTAAGTGTTAGGGCACTTTTTTCTCCTGAGACCGAGAAATCGATCTCGAAGGCGGATGAACCCTACAGAATGGTCAACGGCATAAGGATGCAGAAGGCAACGGGGAACCACTGCATTAAAGACTCATCCTAGTAGTAATCATCATGGTAGACATGCAAAGGAAAAGTACTGATCATGGACATCGGATACCAAGATCCGGCAGAGAAATAGATAAGTACAAGGCTTTCTCGGTCGTAAACCAGCGAAACACTTGTAAAAAGACAAAGACAACCATAAAAATTGCTACATGGAATGTAAGGAGCTTATTCTCTTCGGGAAAATTAGATAACGTCGTGTTGGAAATGGATCGTTTGGGTATAGACATATTAGGCATGAGCGATACACAATGGCCAGGAAACGGCAAATGTCCCACAAATAATCATGGTATGTTTTATTATGCCGGAAGTGACACCAAAACCCATCGATACGGAGTAGGAGTCATCATCTCAAAAAAATGGAAAGATGCTGTAGTAAACTTTACTCCATTCTCAGAGCGCGTGATGTTAATACAATTAAAAGATAAGAAGAACATGATAAACATCATACAAGTGTACGCTCCTACAGCAGACAAAGACGAAGAGGAAATATAACAATGCTATAATATCTTAGAAGAGGTGATGAGAACAACAAAGAGACAACACATTAACATAGTAATGGGCGATCTGAACGCCAAGGTAGGTCAGGGTAAAGTTGGAGAAAATGTCGGTGAATATGGCTTAGGTAATAGAAATGAAAGGGGTGATCGTTTAGTTCAGTTTTGTCAAAGCGAAGATTTAATAATAACTAATACATTCTTTAAACTACCCCCAAGGCGACTATATACGTGGACGTCACCTCAACATACACAAGAAAAAGTGGTCAGAAACCAAATAGATTACATATTGGTGACAAAAAAATACCGTAATGCCGTAAAATCTACTAACACTTTCCCTGGAGCTGATATCGGTTCGGAACATAATCCAGTAGTATCTGTGATAGAAGCTAGACCAAAGAAAAAAGCCATCATTCCAGCATTAGACTTAAGCCAGCTTAAAA